TAGAGCCGATGAAGTTTTCTATAATTTTGATATAATTTGTCCCAAAAGTAGTACAACACACTGTAAAAATATTATTGAGAAAGCGCAGGTGGGATTTTTTTTATTTTCATTTATTGTCTAAAAGAAATGCACTACGAAATAACTGTGTACTCGGACCACATTGCCGGCTCATCTGCATGTTCTACAAAGAAATTGTCCATTAGATTGACAAAAATTCTGTTCGCAGTGAAATAGGGTCTTCAGAAATACTGTGAAACTGTTTACTCGCGTAGTGGTGTTAACCAAATTTGGATTCTAAAAAACTGTAAAGAACTTCTGGATAATTTTAAATCTCGATCTTTCTCCGAAACTATTTCTATGAAAACTTTTGATTTTTCAACCCTGTATACCACCATTCCGCATGTGAAATTGAAAAATCGTCTAAAAGAAATAATCCACAATGCTTTTCGGTATACAAATGGTAGCATACGCTATATATTTATTACTTTGGGATACCATACGGCATATTTTGTTAATAGTGAACAAAAAGTTAAAACATGCTACACAGAGGAACAAGTGATCAGTATGCTGGAGTTTCTTATTGACAACATATTTGTTGAATTTCGAGGTAGACTTTTTCAACAAATTGTCGGCATTCCTTCTTATTTTCATATGATTCGGAGTTCCTTCAGAGTGTTCTTTATTTTTTTGTCTTTGTAAATTATTAACCTTTACTGTTGAGTCCTTTTTGATTATACCCTTTTGGCGTGGCTCGGTACTTATACATCCCGCCATTGTGTTATTGTGCTAAGGTCATTTTTGCTTATGTGATTTGTCTATATGCCATTTTGTATTTCTTTGTTGACATATGTGTGTTTTTCATAGTGATTAAGATTATAACACAATGTTGACTGCTGTACCCCTATTTTTGACATGTTTACCTATTATGTCTGTTTGTTTTGTTCACACATTGTTGTCAATATAATGGAATTTTATGCGACTGTCATACAAGTGAGAGGTTTAGCTAGCTATAAAACCAGGTTTGATCCACCATTTTCTACAAAAGGAAATGCCCGTACCAAGTCAGGAATATGACAGTTGTTTTCCATTCGTTTGATGTGTTTGAGCTTTTGGTTTTGCCATTTGATAAGGGACTTTCCGTTTTGAATTTTCCTTGGAGTTCGGTATTTTTGTTATTTTACGTTTTCCATGTCTTCGGTCTATAGGCTTATTAACCTTTATGTTTAAAATGATATTCCGTCATTTCCCGAAAAAAAACAGGTATTTAAATGTCGAATAGTAAAAATATCAAATAAAAAAACCCTATAACCATTATTACAAGGCCTCAAGTTTATGTTCACTGGTTTTAGTTAAAAAATCATGACTATAGTTATAAACCGGAAAAAATAAGATTGAAATCTAAATAGTGTCAAGGTTCGACTTAAGCTTTAATTATACACGACTTTTTACTTATTTGATTGAGGGAATGAGTTGAGTACCAAAATTAATTCTAAAATCGCCGCAGGTCCAAATTATTGTTGTCTTTGTTTATGATTAAAGAGATAATTTGGAATTTAACGAATTTGGTGTTAATTGATAAATAGTATTGACATTTTTGTTTAGATTCATTGCTATTTTATGGCATACGGTATAACCACGTGTCTATTGTTGAAAACTGTATGTTGACCTCACGTGGTTGACCTCTAGGTAACTTTATATCTTCTTTTATTCACATTGTATTGATTGATTGTTGGTTGCTTCACGTCCAGTGGCAAATATTTCATGCATGTTCGGGACGATATTCATATTGTATACAACGTCAATGAATCATTTCTTTAAGTTATTATATATAATTCTAACCCTGTTATAAATTGAGTATCACATGGTTGTGAGATTTAGAAACAGAGAATTCAAGACCCGGTCAAGGGTAAATGTTTCCGTATAACAAGGCTAGTTCGAAACACTGATCAGTGCAAATCTTATTAGAGGATGGCTTGTGTTTCTAAATCTTTCACTCCTATTATTTATTGAATATTTAATTTTGTCAGACTTTCCCGTTCGAATTGATTCCCAACGAGATATAGAAATCGCGGGAAAAAAGATGTTGGATGATTTAGAAATAATTATTATTATGCATCTCTGTTCAAAGCAATCACACGATACATTACCCAACTTTTGCGTGAACAGTTCCTCTTAGCCGTCTTCCGGGGTGAAATAACAGACAGGTCTCATTTTTCTTTATATAGGAAACCCCAAAGGTTGACTGGGGTATGGGAATATGGTCAATCCTAGGTACACTTCCGACCTGCAGTAATACCAATGACAAAGAGGGCGTATGTTTGTCTGTATGGAATGTATAAACTCGCAATCAATGTGTACAAAAGATTAAACCAAAGTTGTCTGCGGCGAAACCTCGGAAAAAAATAAGCATGCGTACCAACATGTTGAAAATAAATGATAAATCCGGAAAAACTTTCTGCCCAAAGACACGCCCCCCCCCCCCCCCCCCCCCCCCCCTCCCCCAATACCAAATGTTCGTCCCCTGAAATCAGTTGCCTCGTGTCGTGTAGAGAGGGTGTCACGCTTTATGCACTTTACAACTTAGTAGACAGGGCAATGGTTACGACACCTGGAACATAACGTCTTCTGTGAAATCAATGCACTTCCATAGTAGGAATAACTTAGGCAAACATTTGGGTATTTTGATTTCGGAAACATTGTCCACATATAAGAACAAAAAGAATTGTCTGGATGATGTGTATCGCACTAGCAAACATTTATACAATCACTTAATTTTGGTTCCTGTATGTCTCATGCTTCCATTTAAGGAAAGAAGCTCTTATAAATCACTTAAACAGCACATTGCATAGATCCCTAATATTTAGGATTATGTCAAAATTCATTTGTCCAATCGATTGATCTGTTAAAGTTTCCCTTTCATATTTTTTTAAGTTCGGCAGAATATATATACAAGCTAAACTGCACGGACGTTCATGTACCATCTCCAATCCCCTAAACATCGTGTAATGGGATGCAACGCAAGTTTAAGACATATCCAAATACATGTCTAAACATGAGGCTGCCGAAGTATAAACCTGTCATCAATTGAACTTCTACTCAGGTCGATAAATCAACGAAGTCTAAAACATTCGGCTAAAAGGGAAAATAATAAGTTCCCAAGGAAATTCTGCTAGCTAGTTGAACAATCCGTTTCCCCAAAGCACAACAAAATCTCTATCCCTTAAAAACCTTTTGATATGTTTTATCTTCAATTTTTAGATTTGCATGCATGGAAGATCGTATTCGTCTTTGCTTATATAAGATCAAAAGACATATAGAGTACTCAGAAAACTTACCAATATCCAAATATTTTATTATACATTGAAAGCGTTTAGATTTGCATTCAAAACAATTGTGTCGGTGTGATAGTTCAGTGGTAAACATTCTATGACATGATTCGATTTATTCATTTTATTTTCACGTTATTTATTTGTTTGTTCGGTAAGATTTTTTTCAGATATTTTGGTGGGTTTTTTTTATTGTTTGTTTTTGTTGTTGTTTTGTTGGATTTGGTTTTTTTTTTTCGGGGGGAGTGGAGGGGTATTATTTTTTTTTTCTTTTAAAACGAAATATGTAGATACTGTACTTAGTAACATCACCTTTTTTGTTTTTTGGGCAGTGGTTGAAAACGAAATAGTTCATACTTTTTTATTCATCAAGTGGGACTCTGGTTTAGCTTGTAAACATCGACTTGACTTGGTAACGTTACAAATTATACCGATCCAGTTGTAAAGAAAAGAAAAAGATAAAACCAATGTTTTCATTATGAACTAACGTTTGGAAAAATGTACTGGTAGCTCAAACGACTGTTGCGTAATGCATTCGCCTTAGTGGTCTAGTAGTAGAGTGTCCGCTTCGAGTGTAGTAGATGGTGGTACGATCCCTTACCAGGTCGAAACTGAAAAACAAATACAGTTTCTGCTACGACTCGTTGCACGCATCAGTTGAGAATCAGAACAAAGACTAGTCAGCTAAAAGTTGAAGTTTGAGCATGCCTCCATAATATCGTGTGAACTTGCAGGATAAAAATCCCACTCAGTATATACGAGCCGATCTAGTACACATCGTCTTATGCCTTAAACATGTTATCCTCCTTAAAATGCATGAAATATTTGTAACTTAACGTTTAGAAGACATCAATCCAGGAACAGTTTGGAACTCGTCTTGGTGATTATTTTAAATTCTTTTCTGTGTTGAAATTACTCTGTACATAAATTTAATGTGTGAATTGTTCTATAAGCATGGCTCTAACTTAAATTCATAACATTTAATCCAATCATTATTGAAGTCAAATAACTAAAAAATTTCAGAGCAGCAAGACCCGAAGTATTTAAGGACAATAGACAAAATGGTCTTAATTCAATATTGCCTGATGTATTTTCAACACGAATGTAGAGACAATATGAAATGTTAATCATAATTTGAAAGACAGACAATAAAATGACTAAAATTTAAGATTGAATGTTGGTATTTAACCCCACTTTAAATACACTTTGCTATATCATGGCGGCATGTTTTTATTGGCGGAACCATGCAGCTGAAATACCCGGAGAAAACCAGTGATTTTGGGCTAAAAAAACTAACAATCCTAGTCAATTAAGATCGGAGCCAAACGCACCTTGCCAAAGCAGGATTCGAATATGACAGGCTAGTGATAACTGTTGATGAATTTCTTATACCACTGAAAAAACAAAAAGCTAAAACAATGACAAACAACATCCAGTTCAAACATACACTTGATAATTAAAGAATGAGCTTCACGAAAACAACCAGAAATATTTTAAATTGTTAAATAAAATTCGCTGAAAGAAAGCTTTGTGAATTTTTAATGTTTTAAGGTTATACTATACGTTACGATAATAGTTATAAGGAATTATGAGGTTCATGCCAAAACTTATTATTCGTTTTAACAGTTACGTATAATATGTTTCCTTCATAGACACAGAAGATACCTCCTAAACTTAAAATATTCTGTTTGTTAGTTCTTGAAGCGATTAATTTACTTGATTTATAGGTCTAGATTAAGAAAAAAACCGTTTATTATATTTTTTCTGTTCTCCTGTTGTAATTTTATTAATTTTATATGTATGAGTACATATACAGTACTGTAATGATTTCACATACAATTCATAAATTATCTTATAAATATTTATTTGAATGCACAGGCAAAGAAATACTATGTTTGTTAGCTTACAAAGACAAAGTTAGAATTTGTAAATACATTCATGATATTTGTGACAAAGTGATATAATTTCTGTGTGCGCAACATGGTTTTCTGGAATAACTCCACTGGTATGCTCGACCTAAATGTTTGGAAAGCCAAAATGTTAAAGTTAACGTTTGGGACCTCAAAAAAGTTTAAATAGAAATGCGAATAATACCGTCTTATAAGGAGATGTGGTATGATTGTCAATAAGACAACTATCCATAAGATCAAAGGGCAATAATGTGAACAATAAGGTCATATTTTCCATTTATTGTAGCTGTGTGCTTTTCTGAAAAAGAATAAAATTAATAAAATGCAGTTGCTATATTTACATTAAAAGAATGATCATAGACACAACTGAATATATAACACACAAATTGCATAATTCTCTGTTCTTTAACTTTCAATTCTAAGACAAATTAATTTGACGAAAAAGCAATGTTTGAAAATATCAATATTTCAGAGTGAAAAATAAAACAAAAATGAAAGTTGAATGATGCTTTCTAGAGAAATGTGTGATAGTACGGTCTTCGAATGGATTTTTAAGATATCATTAAATACTAACAAACAAAACCTGTTGGAAGCGGTGCACATTTACACAAAGGGCATCCACTATCGTCCGTAGAATAGCCTGTATAGCAATCTAAATCACAGTCAAATACTTCTGCACATACAATCATGTGAAGAGTCGTGCCTCTTGTTGTTTTGTCACTTGTAACTTCCGGTTCCGGTACATGCGGGGTAGTGAAGACATCCGGAAATCTTATCTGGAACGACAGACAAATCATCAAAAGTCCAAGTGAGATAACACCTATTTTGGTATTTATTCTTATTCCTCTCACTCTCTCTTTTGATCCATCAATCGTTCGATACATTAGTTATCCATTCTTTCAAAAACAAAACTCCTTTAAATATATACCCATAAACTTAGGTTAACCATCCGAGCATTGCCCATGGGCATGTGACCTCGATATAATATTATTATCCACGTGCAATAGTATAATGCAGAATATCCTTGTTCTGTTTGATTTCATATAACAGAAATTATAATATAAATAGTCGTTTTACGTGTATAATAGTATTTTTTGGCGGGTCAAATGAGTAAACGAAATAGGTCTTCCTGTTAATATAAAAATAAAGAGATGTGTTGTGATTGCCAATGAGACAACTATCCACCAAAGTTCAAATGAAGCAGATGTAGCAATTATAGGAAACCGTACGGCCTTCAACAATGAGAAAAAAAAATACCGTATAGTCGGCTATTAAAGGCCCCGACATGAAAAATATGAAACAGTTCAATTTAGAAAACTATCGGCCTAATTTATAACAAAACAATTTACGAAAAACAAATATGACCGACATGAACCAACGACAACTACTGAGCTACAGGTTCTGACTTGGGACATGCACATAAAGAATGTGGCGGGTTTAATATAAATAAGAAGATGTGGTATGAGTGCCAATGGGACGACTCTCCATCCATGTCACAATGTATAAAAAGTTAACAATTATAGGTCAAAGTACGGCCTTCGACACCGAACAGCAAGCTATAAAGGGCCCCAAAATGACTAGTGTAAAACAATTCAAACAGGAAAACTTATTTGTGAGCGCTCAACCACCCCCTAACCTGGGACAATGGTGTAACAGCACAACATAAGAATAAACTATAAAATTCAGTTGAAAAAGGCATAACTCATTAGATTGATACAAAGAAAAACATCAAACAAAAACACAGACAGGACGTGGCAGAGTATATATCCATCCCCATCCCTAACAAATAAAAGACATTAAGTACAGAAAGTTTTCTTCCCTATTTAGCTTTTTCAAATGGCATTCTTTTCAATAATGGAATATGCTGAAGACAAAGTCATGCGCAATTGATCACCAGCTAAGGTGACAACATATGTCGAATGCATACGGGTACAAATGAGGTCTTACAAGTCAATAATGTATCAGCAAAGTTTGGGTTTTATTTTGTCAAAACATTGAACCAAACTGATTGCTTTTATTGAAATATTATTCAATATTCCGGTCTGGTAAATGGCCGAAGTTTAAAAAAACAATATTTGAGGATCTGGATGGGGATCCTTTATTCCGTATCATTTAATTTCTTAGGCCATTTTTCTTTCTTCCTTTTTATAATTACCCATTAATTTCTCTTCTCTTTTATAATACCCCTCATTATTCTCTATTCTTAATTTATTTTGGGCCTATTTTTCTCTATTCTATTTTTTAGCCTTTTATTTTGAAATTTTTCCATTATTGTCTATTCTGTAAACCCCATCCAGACCCTCATACTTCAATTTTTTTAACTTATACTGTCAAAATACCGCTTTAATCTTATTCTCTTTTACGTTTTAAATGTACCTCTGTGTTATCTGTTCTTTTTGTGGATATTTCTGTTGACTGAACTAATGGTTGGGGTGCTTGTGTAGTAGGTTTTACAGTCTGTGTATACGTCATCAGTTTTTGTGTTTCTGGCATAATAGTAGGTTTGTTTGTTATAGAAAAGGTGAAAGACTGTTGACTGTTGGTATTAATAGTGCTATACGGTTCTGTTGTTCTCGTCGACATTTCAGCAACTGGTGTGGTTATTTGATCATTAGCTACCAATAATACATAAATAATGAGATAAAACTGGAAATAGAAGAGTGCGATACAAAAAAGTCAGAGAGCAAAATATGTAAGGGTATGAAATTTTGTATTTTCAATGACATGTTTTGCATATTTAGGGCAATATTTTGTCATTAAATTGTAAAAGGCACTACACTTATTTTCTTATCTATGTTAGGTAAAACAAACTTGTTCCCTCCAAAACAATTATGGTAGGCAGGTAAGTAAAATCATTTTATTTAAAAAAAAAATATTTTACGTAAACTTTATAAGGCAATGTTATCGACTTTAAAAGACATTTTATTAGTGCTTAACCAAAAATGTCTGTACTTTAAAAGACACTTAGTGCTTAACCAAAAATGTCTTTCAAATCAATTCTATAATCACTTCCATTTAGTAAGTTACACAAATGTATGTGGTTGATTATTTACATAATATAGTTATTTCGTAAATAATTGATATCCTATTTTACTTTAATTTGAACTATATTTAACTTGTTTTCTAAACCCTTTGTCGAGTTTAATTATGATAGCTCCATTCTAGTTTTAGTATAATAATTGCAGTAAAAGTTGAATAAGGACTTACGACAGCTACATTCTATACATCCAGACACAGGGTTAGATTTAGTGGCACATGGTTGTTGACAATTCCTCCAGTCAGTATTACAGTATCCTCCTGCTAAAAAGTGTTTGTAGTTTATTTATTAAGGCAAAGTGAAAATCATCGAACTTACAAAAGAGTGGTTTATTTGAAGCGTTCAATAGCTGTTTCTAAAATGTTGAATTACTCGAAACACTTAAGTTATTATACACCCAGGCAAAGATGACCTTTGCCGTATTTCGTACAACTTTTCGGAATTATTTTAGCTTTAAATCCCCATGGCCAATAACTTCATACCATATTTTGGCCTTCCTAATATTTTTGATTCGAGCGCCACTGACGAGTCTTATGTATATGAAAAATGCGTCGTAAGCCTTTTATCTTTGATAAAATTTTATTTCAGAATATGTTACAGTACTAACATATACACGGCAACTTGTCTTAAAAAAAAGTGTTCAATTTACGCAGGTTGGATTACACAGGACTATTTACTTTATGTCATAATATATGTACTAGATTTCAGTTTGCCGTGATTCATATTTTGTTTACATGGTGATTAGTTATGACAGATTTTGAAGTATAGCTAATCACTCATAAAGCTTTTCTGTACCAAAAGTATAGTCCATAGCATTAATTTGTGAGGACAATTCAGTTGTCATTTATAGAAGGCAGCAGTCCGGCACTCGCGATATTTGTTCCCTATATATACCATACTAATAAAAATACGTTACATTAACGGAAGATGTATCATTATCGCATATAACAAAAGTAAATGTAGGTAGCGTAATTAATTGTTGCCAATAACTTACAAATATTTGGTTTAGGAGTTTTGTTTCCACTATTGAAACTGTTTCCCGGATTCGATGGATCGAAATGGTGGGCACAATCACATTTGCATCCGCTAGGTGTCATCGAAGCACATCCAGGTGGACAGAAGAGTTTCAGGCTGCTACATGGACCAGAGTCTTTCGTTAAATCAAATAAGAATCCTATGGAATATTTAACACAATAAACATAAGATTTTTAAAGCACGAGAGACAAGACACCAAGGGTGCAATCGAAAACCAAAAGTTCAATTAAACTGACAACACCTTGGCAACAAGACGAACAACAATAACAAAACATTAAACCGAAAACTATTTTTTAACTTTTATCACCAGTTTGCGTTTATATTATATATTCTAGTGATAAGATATTCATTTCAATTTTTTTTTAAAATATTCCATTTATATACTAGTACATATAGCTAAAAATAAAATCGTGTCTCCAGGATTGCTTAATATTAATATTTACCAAGCCACATTTTGTGCCTGTATCAAGTCATGCTAGCAAGACAATGTGTTTTCCGTTGCTGTTTGGCTTTATTTATTTAAAATAAGAAGATGTGGTATTAATGTCAATGAGACAACTCTCCACCAGAGACCAAATGACATAGAAGTTAACAACTATAGGTCACCGAACGGCCTTCAACATAAAGCATACCGCATAGCAAGCTATAAAAGCCCCCGAAATGAACGTATTTTTTCGCGTAAGAGTCCGGTGTTTGTTTGTAGGAGTGGTCTGATGTAAAATTCAATATTTTTGATAACTCCTATTGTTTCATGCTTTTATACATTGCGTGTAAAAGTAAAATAAATCCTGAAATGGAGGCCTTAAATACAAAGCGATGTCGTTCAAATTCTTAACAACTACTAAGAATTAAATATAATTATTTACCATTCGTCATAAACACAAACTCTATACATATTAGTGCATAAAGAAACTTCATCTCCAGATTTATCCGTGGTGTGAATGCTATCAAAGTTTCACTGAAAATATAAGCTCCAGACAAAATCTTCTCTTTACGTCCAGTATCAGAAATCAGCAGGTGTGACAGTTTATCAGTATGGTCAATATCGTCATATGGAAGACAATATCTTGATCAATTTACAGCTGGTCTATTTGTGTATTTACATGTATTTCATGCATGAAAGTAAGAATTGCTGTGTTTGTTAGTAGAACCATGATATACAAACTGGTCATTCGTGGTTTTTTTTGTCATCCCTTGTGTACCATAAACAACTGTAATACAAGTGTGAGGTTTTGCAAGCGATAAAACCAGGTTAAACCCACCATGTTCTTCGGAAAATGCCTGTATGTAGTGAGGAATATGACAGTTGTTATCCATATGTTCCGTTGGTTGATATAGTTTAACGTTTGAGATTGTCAGGTTTTTATTTACCTTGGAGTTCGGTATTTTTGTTATCTGTCAAATGGGTTGGTTGGCTAATAAAAGCTACAGACGGCACTGTTCCTCCTTGATAGACGACTTTCGAATTCGTGCACTTTCCTGTAAATTTCCTATGTCACAATGCTTATGTTTTTATGTCACAGTAAGTGGTACATGTAAAAACAAACTGTCTGTCTCCAGCGTCCGAATTTATTTTCTTTTCAAAAACTAGTTAATACATATAGTTTATGTTGAATATGCAACATCAGATTTGGAAAAATAACTTCAAAAAATCTAAATATTCATGTCCATTATCCAAATTACATATTGACCTTGCTAAATATACGGAAATGAATTAAAATATAAGGATAAACTATGATTCAAAATTCAAAGACGTACACAGTATAATATTTTACTGGTAAATTTTAAAATTCGATGTATTGATTTCAACCATTATCGATTATATATTAACATCACGGAGTAAGCTTTATTGGTTTTTTTTTCATCGATATATTTGGAAACAAAACAAAGTAAATTTTTCGAAAGTGATTGCCTCTATTTATGCCACATGCAAGTTTCTTTTTGCGACATAAGTTTACGCATCTTTACAGGCTGATGTCCAGTTGAAAAACAAAAGAAATTGAAACTCTTTATTAGAGAAGGTAAAAATGGCCAAGTTGGTATATTTGAATTGTTTATATTTGTTTCTATGGGCTTTAAAAGTTAAACGTAGTTGTATAATTTACGATTTTATGCATCTTATATATGTGTTTATGCTTAAATTATAGCATGGAGCTTCGAGATATTTGTTAACTTTTATATGAAGACAAATTTTCACAAAACGGTCGATTAGGGTAGGTACAAATACATGTGGATCTTTTTTGTGCATAGGCATACATTCTATCCTCTTTTACCCCGGCAACAGTTTTTTTGGGTAAAATATCCTAAATTTTGCCAATAATCTCATCGCAAAGTCGGGTACACCTTTTTATGCTTGACAATGTTTTCTCAGAATCTTACCTATGAAGTCAGTTAGTTTTAGTGAGAAAGTTGTAATATTTTCGCGGAATTTTGAATTTAAGACATTTTTACACCAAAATAGTGATTAATTCTTTTTCACATTTAGTAAAAGAACAGAGATAAATGTGTTGTATTTTAAAGCTTGCCCAACGTAAAATTTATCTATTTTTATCAGATGTAGTTTTGGTATAATTAAACAATTATTGCCATCATATAAGGTGGACATTCAAATTATGAACCCTTTAAGGGTTGTTTTTCCTCGAGCTACAGCCATCGGGGAATACAACCAATCTCGGGTTAACAATCGGGTTGTTCATCTTGCATGAAGGCAATTATTGTACAATGTATAGCGTCTTGTCTGTAAACGGAAGTCGTCTCCTCTTCAGGAAATTTGGTTAAAAACATTTTAATTGTCTTATAAAAGTAATGTTTATGTAAGATTGAATTATTTGTGCGGGTCCTTGTTTCAAAATACCTTTTAAAAACTGTATTAAAGTTTATGCAAGTTAATTGATCACTTATAAAAACCCAACTTTCTAAATAATATGCCTGTTGATATAGGTTATACATTATTTGTTTGTACTATCTCGTATATATAAAAGCTTGAATTTTAAAAAAAAATTGTCTCTATTCACTTTTTAATCAATTCAACTACTTGGTAAAATCAGATATTTGAACAATTAGGTTGTTCACCTCATATGACGACAATACTTGTATATCATCAAATGTAGTTTGTAATTGTATATCATCAAATGTTGTTTGTAATTGTATATCATCAAATGTAGTTTGTAATTGTATATCATCAAATGTTGTTTCAGTATAATAAAACAATTATTGCTATCATACAAGGTAAACATCCAAATTGTAAATCCTTGAAGAGTTGTCTTCATTCGGGTTATAGCCATCGGGGAAAAAAGAATCATATCGGGTTATCAATTGGGATGTTCACCTCACATGAAGCCATGTATGTAAACGTCTTGTCCCTTTGTATGTAAGTTCGTTGATCACTGATAAAAACCCGGCTTTTTGATTGTCGAAGTTTATATCAAATATCGAAAAAATGTGCGTGTTCATATATTAGGTTATTTATGATTTGTCTGTACCATCCTCTATATAAGGTTTATTTAATGGTTTAATTAAACAAAATACAGATTGTCTCTATTGACTTCTTGATTTAGAATTTGAACTGAAAAGAAGTATCAAAGCCATTTAATAAGTTTACAAGGTGACATAGGGGATTGTTTATCAATAAGTATGAGTAGATAGTACGTACTGGTCGCCAATACAAAGGAGACCAAAGTTACTAAATAAAGGCACATTTAAAAAAATGTAGATCAGGTCTATGATTGGAAATAATAAATTTAATCAATACAGTTCATATAAATTGTGTCATAAATCAAATTGTTAAATGTTTTTCCACACGAAGTTAGGAAGTTACTTATCAAAATATATTGTTATAGATAAATAGAATGAAATTTTGCTAGTTTCGTCAAACATTTTCCAATCTGATTAAAATTCAGATCTATCAAACTTGTGATGAACATGGTTAAAATATTTCATAAGCTTGGCATTTTTGTTTTATAGATGAAAGCTATAAGGGAGAGACCATTTAACTGTGAGGTTATGTCCCAGGTTAGGGTTGTTGTTTTTCTCAAAAACAAAATTATCCCTGTGCCTTCGTTTTCGAAAGTGTCATAAGATATGTCACAAAATACGTCTTTTTTTGGACTCTCATATGGCATGTCATAGATTGTTAATCAAAGCTGTCCTAATATAGTCATAAAATGATATTAAGATGCTCTTACGATTGTCATTAGAGAAGGTTATTTCACCAATCGGAACTACTCGG